GAGAGCCTACTATTTCCTTAAACAGATTAAGTTCTACGGTACTCTGCACACTTACTTTTGGGCCCACGGGTAAGTGTGGCTTTCACCCCTCATGGAAGCATCATTGTGTGACAGATGGAGACTGTTACAGATACCACACTGGGAAAATGCAGAGAATAAGTTACTATGGGTGTCCAGCCACAAAGGATACATCTATAATGTAACCCTATACCTGAGAGTCATGAAACATCACAGAAAAGAGGCTGAGTGTAAGAGCCAGACAGCCAGGATGCCTGCTGCAAAACAGTGTCTTTTAGTCATGACAGAGAATCCGTGCCCAGGAACTCTCAGCCTAAACAAGGACTATGTAGTGACACCACCAGTAGACATGCAATGGGGGATAGGGGAAGATTCATGAGACCTCAGCTATAGATGAAGGAGAACTAGTTTTCTCTGTGGACTAGGACCCTGATCAGTTATCCAGTCCCAAGTGGCCAACCCTAAACACATGCTCATACCAGCAACACTAAATGAACTCAGTAGTATGTGTATACACACACACACACCAACAACAACACAATAATAGTGTTAATTAATTTTAGACATAGATCTGGGGAGTGCCAGTCTACAATCCCATGGCCAGAGAGTCTGGGAAACAGAAACTTCATTCAGTGGCTGATTGAAGAAGAGGCAGACTCCCTCGGTTAAGTACTGAGCTGAACTCAAGAAAGCCAGTAACAGAGAGGGAGGACTGATGATCAAAGGGATTAAGACTGGGCCGGTTTAACCCCCAGAAACAGCTGACCAGACAAAGGTTAACTCTTGAATCCCAGGCATCAGCCTGGTAATCCAGCATGGGACTGATCAAGACCCCCTGAATGTGGGTGTCAGTGAGGAGGCCTAGGTAATCTATTGAGCCTTGGGCAGCAGATCAGTATTCATCCCGAGTATACACACGGATTTTGGACTCCCATCCAACAATGTGAGGTGCACTCTCACCCTGACCTCATGGGGGGAGGGTCTAGGCCCTGCCCTGGATGAAATGACAGACTATGGACACCCCCATGGAGGGCCTCACCCTCCCTGGGGAAATGAGGGGATAATGGGGAGGTTGGGGGAGGGCACGGGAGGAGGGGAGGGAAAGGGAGAGGGATAAAAAAAGAAAAAATAATAATAATACTAATAAAGAAGAGGCCATGCATTTAAGAAGGAGTGGGGGAGTGTGAAAGGAATTTGAGGGGGGAAAGGGAGGCATAATAATGCTATGAATACAATACTCCTGTATAAAATTTCTAAAAAACAAACGTTTTAAATTTAAAACGTTGTCTCTGGACAAGATGAAGGTCAAGATGGCTCTGGTTATTTTTTTTTTTACAAATGCGCAGGAATCTACAACTGTCCAAAGAAAAGGGAAGTTTAAAAAAATAGCTGTGGTTGCTACTTATTACTATGATTATGGAGTAGGTGGTCTTCACCTAGAAGTGTGAGGATGCTTTTATTTTGGGTTTGAACTTCTGTATACTATCGTCTTCCAGGACACCATCAAGTAGGCTTGTATTGTTCCAAACATACACACTCAAGTGGCACTAGCCTATCACAGGGAGCCGTTCATAAGCCAGGTGTGAACATTCTTTGTCTATCGGCTTCCCATTCAAATACCAAGTGAGGATTTTTACCTCTTCCATGAGAGTGGAGGAACCAGATGCAATAACTTCAGTTAGGAAGAGAACTGAATGAAACCTTGGATACTTCTCTGCGTCAATGTTTTTAGTGTAGCCAGACTTCCTTTGAACCAACAACTCCCAAATAATGACACAAAGACTTTTTATTAATTATGGAAGTGTGGCCTTAGCTCAGGCTTGTTTCCATCTAGCTCTCAAAATTTAATTAACCTGTTTATATTATTCTACATCTGCCATGTGACCCGTTACCTCTCCTCCACACTGTACATCCAACTCTTCCGTGTCTTGCTGATGAATTCTCTGCCTCTCTAACTCCAGAGTTCCTGTCTCTTCCCTGAAGTCCCACCTATCGCCTCCTGCCTAGCTACTCGCCGTTCAGCTCTTTATTAAACCAATCAGAAGGTGCCTTGGCAGAGACACATCTTCTTAGTGTGCAAAAAGATTATCCCACAACATTATTATTTATTTCATACTTTGAGGCAAGACTGTGCCTTCCCAAGGCGTCTATAGTAGTTGCTACCTCCTTCACTCCAAGCCCAATGAACACGATACCATCAGTGTAATATGATTGGGCTCCCTGCCAAGGATGTTACTTCCCCTAATGATGCATGTCAATGCATTCCCCAAATTGATAGCTACAAAGGATGCATCAATAGCAGCAACAATAAAACTTATACCGAGAGCAACTACAGCTGGAGCTGCTATCTGGTAAGTTTTCAATAATCCACTGCAGAGCTCCAAGGTGCAAATATATATGGATAAAGGGAATCATCTTTTCTGCAGCATTCAATAAAGTGTCAGTTGCACTGACCCCTGAATAACCTCATGGATAACATTGCCCTGGTTTGCCTTTTGGTAAGTAGATGCAGTAGTGGTGTTTTCCACTAGTTTCTATCTTACTGTCATTTCCTGAATCAGACAACCACTGTAGGGATGATACCAATCGGTAACTGTGTCCCTCCTACCTCTGTATTCAAGAACTGGAGAAAGAGTTCATTTAGGACCCAGTCTGTGGACCATCTCCAAAGCCCATCCTCAAACTGGGGCTTCACAGAAAGTCTTTACAAAGTATTATCAGGCCAGAGGCAGTGCACAATGATCAAAAAATGGATCCCTATTTTTCTATAATCCACATCACTCTGCTTAGACAGTCCCTTGTAGCTCTGAGGAAGCAAAGGAAGAAAATACAAAGTTGGGGCTAGGATTTCCTCAAGGGCATCCAGCTTCTATCTTGCAAAGAGCTCTGATGATCAGGTCCAAGCCTGGGAACTAGTTGAGGCTTCATATGGTAATCAATGCCTCTTTCTATCAGATCTAGAATTTTTCTTCAAAGCTCCAAAACTCCAGAATGTCAGTGCCAACTGTGTAATTTATTGAGACAACTAATCTTTGAGTCTGGATGATTGCTTGTTTGAGATGCTACATTAATCTAGCTGTATGATTTTTTCTTTGAAAATTCCTCATAATAAATTTTTATCTTTAAAAAATTCCTCATCTTTATTTAGACCAAAAATACTGTCCAAAGCCCATAATGCTCTTTGCCAATATTCTTGAGTACTTAGACACAATGAACTAACCACTTTACCCTCCTATGATCTGTGATTGTAAATGCTTGTTCACCCAAAGCCTTGTCTTGCATTGCAGATGCCCATTGGTGACATTGGTTAAGTGTCAGGATTACTCTGCATACCATGAATAATCAGTTCACTCCTACAAGTACTTACAAGAGGATCTGTAAGACCTTTAAATTATGTCTAGATTGATGAACAGAAGAGGTCCCTGTTCTTACTTCCATTGAGGATCTCTAATCTACAAGGTCCAATCTGAAATGAAAGCCTTCATGAGCAGAGCTCCCTGGTGAACTTATAGACAGGTGAACTGACCACCTGGGATCCTCTGGTTGCTTCCTCTTGCTTTGTTTTTTCAACAAAGTAAAGCAGGCTGGCACAAAGAAAGCTTATTGGAAGCGAGTCAAGCAGCAACTGATTTGAGACCAATTTCTGGTATTCAATGACTATGACATTTTGTCAAGGCTAGATTTCCTCATATGTAACATGGAAACAGTAATTCTCAGGGTTGGTGGGGGTCTAAAGAAAGCACAAACCAGAAATATACCAGTATGTCAACTATTCCAAGATGCACAGCATTTCAAATTGTAATCAATTAAGTAATAATGAAATTTGTAAACAATGGCAGTTCCTGTTTGACTGAGAGCAGTGTTTGATTCCCAGTGATACATGAAATGATGAAAGCACCAAGTAAGGTCTCAGACACTGATCTGCAAGGAAGGTATGTTGTTACCAGGCAAGTTTGACTCTCAACGAATAAACAGGAAGCCTGTGATCCCCTGAAGGACATAGATGTGGTACTTTATGCATTCTTGCATTCTGTTGTATTTTCTATTCACCCCCATTGGAACTGAAAACAGTATCTGAAACTAATGAAATGTATGATCCTCCTATTATGTGATATCCAGAAGTCCATTGAATTCTCCATAAATGTGTACTGCAACACCCACCAAAGCAACTATTAGTATGACTAAATAAGAACACCCACTTACAGCAGAGGTTCTCAACCTGTAGGTCACAACCCTTTTGGGGTTACACAGAAGGTTTCTGGTATAGCAGATATTTATATTATGATTTATAACAGTAGCAAAACTGCAGTTACAAAGTAGCAAAGAAAATTATTTTATGGTTGGGGGTTGCCACAACATGAGGAAATGTTTTAAAGGGTCGCAGCTTTAGGAAGGTTTGAGAACCACTGGCGTAAGGTCTCTGCCCTGCCTGATATACTGAGTATTCAAGACACTCTCCCCATTCTTTCTTCTCTCTCAGCCGCACTCTATCATCTGCTACTTAATTGGGTAAATCTGAGACGCCCGCCCACTTGTCCACACACATGATGACCATCAGGCTCAATCAGCCCACCACCAGTTTTTGTAAAGAAAATGTATGCCCTCATGCCCATGTGTTTCACACACTACAGATGCCTGTGTTTGTGTTACAACGACAGAGGCGAGTCTTGGCGCCTATACTGCAGGGACCTCAAAGCTGGCAATAACACCTGGCGATATACAAGGACAGGTCCATGATCCCAGGCCTAGGTCCCCATCCTTTGTGTCGCTGTCCTGCCTCTAAGGAGCAGCTTCGGAGGGTAGAGTGGGCACCTCATCGTGGGATCCAGGACTCTCAGGATCTGATCACAGATTTGGCACCAGCAGAGAGCAGTCATGAGAATTTCTGAGAAGGAAGATAAAGATTGACCAGGCCAGCTCTGTGGTTTCCAGCCCTCCTCTGGAACTATAAAAGCAGGGGCCAGGCAGGTGCACACCAGAGGCTGACCTCAAGCTGCACCCACGGGAAAATGCTGGCCCTACTCTTCCTGTTGGCCCTTCTCTTGCCTCCTGAAGCCGGAGCTGGTGAGTTTGGCCTCTGTCTCCCCATCCTCTGACTTTTTCAGCAACTGCCCCAAATCCATTCACTTGGGTAATAGAGACCCTAAAATGAGGCAAGGTCCTTTACATGTTAGTTAGTCCAGGAGAAATCTCTTAGGTCAAGTAAGAATGAAAAATGAACTCGCCCTTAGACCATTTCATCAAAATGCTCCCTTCTGATAGGCAGCTCTTCTCTGGCTTTCCATTAGCATTGGGGAGGACAGCAAAGCAGAGTCTAAATGAACAGGCAGTTCAGAAACCTGAATGAGCGCTGTGCTCTGACATGTAGGGTGATGATGGACAGGGAGGACGGGAGAGGCAAGATCAACGGGTGGAAAGATCAAAGAATGCTCGGAGGGGCCTGAGCCCCATGACGGGGGAAGGGGGGAGGGGGAAGCCTGGGGGAGACACTCGGGGAGCGGCCACTCAGCTTCGGCCCCTCTTCCTCTGCCAGCACGGTGTCCTGCAAGTCTGTGACTAGGGACGCGGGGTTCTTTGTTCCAGAGGAGATTATTGGTGGTGTGGAGTCAAAGCCACACTCCCGCCCTTACATGGCCCATTTGGAGATCGTCACTGAGAGAGGCTTTACTGCCAGCTGCGGGGGGTTCCTCATAACGCCAGAATTTGTGATGACGGCTGCACACTGCAAAGGAAAGTAAGAGGCCTCTTTCTCTTCGTGTGAAGAAGCGCACGAACCAGAGTTACAAAGCCTGAGGAGCGGCCCCAGCTCTGCTCATCTCCAGAGGGGCTCCTACGTACACCCAGAGGGCAAAGTCACTCATTGAACCATTTCGTTTGTAGGGGGGCCTGAGGAGCGGCCCCAGCTCTGCTCACCTCCAGAGGGCTCCTACGTACACCCAGAGGACAAAGGGACACAAAGTCACTCATTGAACCATTTTATTTGTACCTCCATTTTCAGAGGGCAGAGCTTTAGGCAGGGCTCCGGTAGGGACAAACTACTGCTTTCCTCTTGTCCTGATGTCCCCAGAGCTCTCAGTCACCAGCTGGGGTGTAACTCAATGACAGAGTGCCTGTCCACCACGTGCAAAGCTCAATGCCAATACTGGGGTGGCTAGTTCTCAGTCCTGTCTTTCCCTGAGTTCGTTCCTTCTGGGAAGGCTGGGAGCCCTGTCTCAAGTCCAATCAGAGTCTCTCTAGCGGCTCTGCTGTGGGATAGGGAAGACCCTGGTGTCCTCTGCTCTGAAATGAGTCCCCATGAGCCCAGAACTTTCTACTGCCTCTCTTCTCTCTCAACAGAGAAATTACTGTCACCCTTGGAGCTCATGATGTGAGCAAGGCAGAATCCACACAGCAGAAGATAAAAGTCAAAAAACAAATCGCTCACCCAAACTACAGCTTCTACTCCAACCTGCATGACATCATGCTTCTAAAGGTGCCATTGTTATTTTTCTTGACCTTTTTTTACTTCCCCCTCCTTAACTCTCCTCCTGCCTCAGGCCTTGGAATTTTCTCTTGTCCAACCCACTTCCTCAGAACCCACCCCAGAGTTCCATGTCCTTGCCACCCCAGTGGGAAAGGACCCATGTCCAAGACAGCATCCTTCTCTCCTTCCCGCCCCCCCCCCCCCGCAGCTTCAAAGGAAAGCTAAGAAGACCCCTGCTGTGGACACAATCCCCCTGCCTAGTCCGTCTGACTTTCTTAAACCTGGGAAAATGTGCCGGGCAGCTGGCTGGGGAAGGACTGGAGTGACAGAGCCGACGTCAGAAAGGCTGAGGGAGGTCAAACTGAGAATCATGGACAAAGGGGCCTGTAAATACTATCACCACTACAGTTATGACTTCCAGGTCTGCGTGGGCAGCCCCACGAAGGTCAGATCAGCATACAAGGTGAGTGCTCACCTGCTGTTCCTCCAGCCTCAGGAGACAGTGTTTGTGGAGGGAGCAGACCAAACAGCTCTCCACTGTTGTGACTGACGCCAGGGTTCTTAGGCTCCCAGCACTCTGGGAACTGAAATTCTCCCTCTAGGTCTCATTTCCATGTCCAAACCCTGACTGCACCCTTCCCATGGGGCTCCAAAGAGAAGAAGGGAGTGAAGGGAGACCATCTAAGCACTGGGTCAAGACCTAAGGGGAAAAAAATCCCTAACTTAGACTCACAAAGAGAGGGAACTCCTTTTACTCTGGGACTAGCTATGGAGAGGGGTCTATAGGTGGGGACGATGATTTTGTTCATGGTCTGCTTTTTCTAATCCACAGGGAGACTCCGGGGGACCTCTTCTGTGTGCTGGGGTGGCCCATGGTATTGTATCTTATGGACGTGGAGATGCAAAGCCCCCTGCAGTCTTCACCCGAATCTCCCCATACGTGCCCTGGATTAATATAGTCATAAAGGCAAGCAGTTGAAGAGCCAGCCTGAGTTAGGGCCTCCAAGCCAGAGCTCTTCTGGTACCCCTGGGGGTTAAAAGACGGGTCCCCAGCCTGCCCCAGCCTGTCCCAGCCTGCCCCTGAGAGGATCTCAAAGACACACCATTCTCTGGTGCTCTATTGTTCCCTGTAATGCACCTCAATAAAGATGTGACCACCAGCTGCCAGAGGCTCGCTCCTTGCTCTAAACTGACTCAGTCCCTCACCCACAGCCAGGTCCTCTCTGAGCTGAGTGGAGAATTGTTTAGGGCTACTCTCTGGTCAAGCTAACAATCTTGACTACTGATTTCCTGGCACAGGGTGCACCACTGCGGATTGCTGAGCGTGATCTAACATACATGGGTGTGTACTGTAAGTTTTCACATCCAGAGTAATTCGCACTGCCATTTTCCTGCACTGTCCTTTCTTCTCCTCTGTCCTTGTCCTCATCTCTTCTCTCCACAAACCCCATGCCCTAGCCAGAACATCTTTTCCACATCACAGCAAATTCCCATGTGTAGTCAGAGATGGCCATGGATAGCTTGTGTCCCCAACACTTGTCCCATCGTCACCACCCTCTCAAAATCGCACCTGCGACTAGAGGAGAGCCTGCCCTCGGAAGTCCCTGGAAGGTGTCTGTGGCTGCAGCAGCCACAACCTTTCATCCCTTTCTAGAACCAAACGCAGGGCAGAACGGGCCATTGGTGGGAAGAGGTCATCAAGAACTGTGCATGGAGCTGGCTCTGGAACTGCTTCCGAGCCACCCAAATCCAGCTGTCATCTCCCTCAGAGGTGGCATAGGGACCTCTAGCCTGCAGAAGAATGCCTGAGTTAGGTCAGCTCTCCTCTCAGAAGACAAAGCCCCCATTGTTCTTAGTCAAGGAAAGCAGTGCATTAGCTGTGGGGTACTGTGGAGTCTAAAAGTGCAGAGACCTCACATGAGGTCTGCTATGCCCCAAGGGGACCTAGTATAATGTGCTTGACCCTTGACTGCTGTGCTCTGAGACACTGCTGCCCTGCCAGCCCTGACCACGCACTCAGCACCTCCGCCTGCCAGCCCACACATCTGGTTTCCGGCTTCACCACTGAGCAGTACAGATGTGAAGACAGCTATCATTGCTGGGGATCTGGGCCCATGCCTGGGGTCATGAGTGGCTTCAAGAGTCAAGCTGCTGTTGGGCCCGTGCCAATCTAAATGACCTGCACTGCCACCCAGGGCCATGGGGTCATCCCAGGTCTCCAGGGTCCATGGCCCCGTCACAGTCTCTGTTGATGTCCGTGGATCCTGTTACCACGGAGCTGGCCCCGCCCGTCACCAACTGTACCACTCTGGAGAGTGGGCCCTCCACCTTCCCCAGGCAGCACAGTAGAGCTGTCTCTGCTGGTGGGGGTATGGGTGAGCTGGCCCTGAGTATTTGAGAGTGGAAAAGCTAGCCTCCCGGCTCCCCCACCCCCCCGCCCGTCACACGGTGTCATGGGTGACAGAGAGACAACCCCCCTTGTTCCTATCTCTTGCCCCTCGCTACCTACAGCATGTCAGAAAGCTGGTCCTGGAGACACGAGAGTGGGAGAGCTGTCCCTGCCCCTCACCAGCTGCAGCACTCAGGAGACTGGGCCCTGTACTTAGCCCCAGCCGCTTAGCAGAGTTGACCCCATTGACTAAGGTGCAGGTGATCTGGCACCAAGAACACAAGTGGGAGATCATGCCTCACCCTTCACCTGCCCTCTGGGGGGGAGAGGACCTCCCCCCTCCCCCACCCCTTGCTGCCTGTAGTGGGTGGGAAAGCTGACCCTGAGGTCAGGAGAGTGAAAGAATTGGCACCGTCCCCTGCAGGCAGCAGCACTAGGGAGAGCAGCCCCTGCATCTTGTCTATACAGCAGGACAGAGCTGACCCTGCTGGTGGGGGCTCAGGTGAGCCACACTTGTAGGCATGAAAGCAGGAGAGCTGTCAAACCCCCTCCCTGGTATGCCACGGATGGCAAGGGTAAGAGAAATAGGCCCTCACCCCTGCCCCTTGCCACCTGTGACAGGCAGGACAGTTGACCTTGGGGGCATGAGAACAGAAGAGCTGGACCTGCCCCCTGATGCCTGCCACACTGGGTGAGCTAGCCAGGACAGTGCTGGAGAGCTCACCCGGGTGGTGACAATGAGAGAAAGATGTCAGACTGGCCAACCCAGCTACCACCCAGGCCCAGAGCCAGGACTGTGAGTTATCCCACCCCAACTCCCACCTCATTATGAACTGCTGGAGCACGTGAAGGGACCGGACCTGCAGATCTAAAGCTACAGGATCTCCATGACACAAGACAACAGACTATCCAAGAGGAGTCCCAGTGAGAGCCCATTATCAACAGTGTAGCAGAAGCCAGAGGCCTTGAACCGGACCAAAGACTCATTGCAATGAAGACTTGCAAGTAAAGATGTATTGACTGAAGGGTGTACTGTGTGATTCACTGGGCCACACTGCAGCCTCCATGAAGAATTTTTTCATTAGTCTGTTTACTTGTGGGGGGTTGGTGAGGGGGGGGTTTTTGACCTTTTATATCTTGTTTTTGGAAGGAGGTTGCAAGGGCAGAAAGAGGAAACAAGGGAATAGGGAGATGAGTAGGGTAGGAATGCATGCTGAGAAATCCACCAAGTATCAATAAAAAGTTTTAAAAAGATAGCTATCAAAGTACAAGACTGCCTATAAATTCTAATTCTATGAAGAAAAAAACAACCGTATGTGGGGATTAAACAGCCTGAAAGGATCTTTTAAAAACTAAAGAATCTGTATTGGATTATAGCTGCAAAAGTGACTTTTGTTTGTTTTTTTTAATTCTTGTTTGTAGTTGTGTAATTAAGTGATAGGGTCCTTTTCCATTTTGATTTAGATTGATTTGGTTTGGGCAGAGTCTCTCTATATAGCTCAACTGACCTCCAACTCATAATCCTTCTGCCTCAGCCTCCCTAGTGCTGGGACTACAAGCAGGTTCTACAGGCTTACACAGAAGTCCCAGAGGGTGAGGTCAAGGCAAAGACAGTGGCTGTGTTTTCTTAGATTCGAATACCCACTAACCTGCAGCTGAGGCCACACTGCCTCTTCATCCACATAGTGTAAGAACTACATGTACTTGGAACAACTCTTCCTCCGTGGAGCTGGGCAACTCGATATAGGAGAGCGTGACTACCCCACCCTGCAGCCTGGCCTAGAGTAACAGCGGACAGATGGAAACTCCTGCGAGCTGGGCTGAGGCCACCTTGTGGAGGCTGAATTGTTTCCAGAAAGGTCACCCTACCGAACAAACCCCATCACATGGGCCCCTGGTGTCAAAGGAGCAGTTGGTGGCCCAGAAGCTCCAAAATCAAGAGCCCGATTACCACCACAGCGTTCATTCTTAAGTATGGTGGATGGGGACCATAGTGGCCTGCCCGGTGGACCTGGGAAGGAGAGAACAGCCACGGTCTGGCGAGGTCGGCCAGGGAAACATGTGAGTAAGGTTTTGCCCACGGTGGATGCTGTAGAAGCTGAGTAACTCAGTTTGATGAAGGCTCTCCATGCAATGCACTGTTGGCAGCAGACACCCACTGAGGATACCCAGGCAAGGGGAGGTCAGCAGCTTCTCACCCAGCCTTGCAAATGTGGAAACAAAACCCAAGAGTCAGCAACAGAGGTAAATCTCAGGCCAAAGAAATTGCAAGTGGGAGGGATTTGCAGGTGACCAAAGAAGATTTACCTCGAGAAAAAAATAAAAATGAAAACACTTGCACTGAGGAGAAGCCAGAAGGAAAAAGCCACGGTTGATTAATGTCCTGAGCCAGTGTCACCACCTGCCCCCAGCTGTCTCATACTATCCAAATGAATGTGTTATCAATTATTTTCTAAATGAAAAATTTTAGTGTCTCTGGAAACATTTTGTAAGAAGGAAGGATGTTGTGGTATATGTGCTTACACTGTGAAGATGGGTCTTTATCAAGACGCCTTCTGGTTGGTTTAAACAGGAGCTGGATGGCCAGTAGTTAGGCAGGAAGACATTAGGCAAAACTTCTGGGAAGAAGAAGGGCAGAGTTGCCAGTCGGACAAGGAGAGGAAAGAGGAGGTGCAGGACAGAAGACAGGTAACACCAAGTGGTTATAAACAGGTTGGTTTAAGTTATAAGAGCTAGTGGACAAGCCTAAGGCTGAGCTTTCATGATTAGTAAGAAGTCTCCGTGTCATTATTTGGGAGATGGCTGGAGGGACAGAGAAAGACTTACTACAGAAGTGATGCAACTTTGTATCATTTTTAAGCATAAATGATCTTTGGATTTTGCTTCATTCTGTTCTGTGTAATACAAGGTCTTTCTATCAAGCCCAGGGACAAATGCCATAATCTTGTTTCACCCTTCTGTTTACTGAGGATTGCAGTATCTACCACTATGCCCTGCTTAGTCCCATAATTCAAAGCTACTAAGTGTTAGCTTGGAATCACCTTTGTGCACTGAATATATCTTGAACATCTTAATTACAATCTAGTGTCACATTGCAAAATTATATCCTAAGAAATAAATCCTAAACTGGGCATAGTAGTACATACACATAACCCTAGAACTTAAGAGGCAGAGGCAGGAGGATCAGGGTTCAAATCATTGTCTCAGCTACATACAGAGTTCAAGGCCACATGAAAGCCTGTCTCAAGATGAAAAATGATAGAGAGTAGAGGTGAAGGGAAGGAGGGAAGGACAAAAAGAGGAAGGGAGAGAGAGGAAAGAGAAAAAGGAGGGAAGGAGGGAGGCAGGGAAGGAGGGAGGGAGGGAGGGGGAAAGAAAGGAAGGATGGAGGGAGGGAGGGAAGGAGGGAGGGAGGGAGAGGAAAGAGAAAAAGGAGGGAGGGAGGCAGGGAAGGAGGGAGGGAGGGAGGGAGGCAGGCAGGGAGGGAGGGAGGCAGGCAGGGAGGGAGGGAGGGAGGGAGGGAATTAACCAGTCCTGGGTGGTGGCTGTCCCTGTCAGAACTGCATGCACTCTATAATAACTATTCTATTATTATAGTCCAGTTTTCCCAACGGCCTTATATTTTTTTTGAGGATGAAAAACCGTGCCTAGGCCTCTGGGGCTTGGTCTCACAGGTACAGAGCCACCAGACAAGACTTCTCCCCAGCTCCACATTCTCCTCTGTCCTGCTAGTGATGGGGTGTCAGCGGCGAGCACTAGGTGCTAGCAAATGG